GGTGAGTCCTAGTGATCAGTCTAAGGTGAGTCCTAGTGATCAGTCTAAGGTGAGTCCTAGTAATCAGTCTAAGGTGAGTCCTAGAGATCAGTCTAATGTGAGTCCTAGTGATCAGTCTAAGATGAGTCCTAGTGATCAGTCCAAGGTGAGTCCTAGGAATCAGTCTAAGGTGAGTCCGAGTGATCAGTCTAAGATGAGTCCTAGTCTTAAGGTAAGTGATCACTAGGACTCGCCTTAGACTGATCACTAGGCCTCACCCTAGACTGATCACTAATACTCAGCTTAGACTGATCACTCGGACTCACCTTAGACTGACCACTAGGACTCACCTTAGACTGAGCACTAGGACTCACCCTAGACTAATCACTAGGACTCACATTAGACTGATGTCTAGGACTCACCTTAAACTGATCACTAGGACTGACATTAGACTGATCTCTAGGCCTCACCTTAGACTGACCACTAGGACTCACCTTGGACTGATCAGTCTAAGGTGAGTCCTAGTGATTAGTCTAGGGTGAGTCCTAGTGATCAGTCTAGGGTGAGTCCTAGTGATCAGAACCCTGGTTCAACGTCCTTATAGCCAAACTGTGAAGGTCGCTCAGTAACATTTTCACAGTCTTGATCAGCATGAATACTGATACTGTGTAGTATTATCAATTGTGATGTCACAGGGAAAAATGAGATGTTCTATCTTGTGATTATGGTAAAGGAAAACAAAGTTGATGGCTGTGATTTTAAGTCATAAAAAGTTAAGGAAGTTGACAATACAAATTTAAGAAGATTTTTGTTTACAGATATTGAATTGATTAAGGCTATACAAGTTTCCATTGCTAGTTAATATTCATTACTTGTTATGTCTGTAAGGTAATATATGCTGTTGTCAAGGTGACTGACATTGGTTGTCGTTATTTACACAGAAGTGTGTTGTTGTTGTTTACAGAAATCTGTGACATTACGATGGATCAGCAAATGGATGGTGATGTTCCTTGTGGGCATCGGTACAGCATTGCTAGCTGCTGCCATCCATGTGATCGTGGAAAACCTTGCTCACAAGAAGTTTGAACTCATACAAGAATGTATCCTTGACTTTGTTGTGGAAGAAATCCTAATTAAATCCCTACCTTTAAAAATATACTGGAATCAGGTTGTCTGACAATTTACCTTAAAGTACAGCACAGATTTTAATGGCGCTTTACACACATGTTATCCATCACATAAACCTGTCTATATGTAGCTGTTATGTTGTTTCAACCACATTTGAAAAAGTTATTATGACGTTATCTCCATAAATACATAGGAATACACATCCTCCATATATCCAACAAAATAATGGGAAGGTCTGTCTCCTGTCTCCTGTCTCTTTCAGTCAGTTTGTTGTAAGATTCTGTTTGGTCACTGTTTGTCCTTAAATATGTCCTGTCAGTCTGTTGTCTTTACTTCTTGTTATAAATCTGTTATCTGTTTGCTGTCTGTTCTCCATCTGTTACCTGTTTGTCCCTCTGTCTGCATCCTTGAAAATCCTGGGATTACACCCATTTATGTTCTCTGCACACCTGTGGAGTATGACATGATAAAATCGAAGGCACAATGTAAGCTATTTGATTGGTTTACGATAAAAAAAAAAACCTGACCAATCGTTAGGCTGATACCTTCCGTTTGATAATTTACAGAGCAGCTACACCTGACTTAAAGCTGGTCCGTTTATCCTTACGCTTCCTTGTGATTCTTTTGATGTACTCCAAAGGATCAAACAGTTATACATGTATCATTCACAATGTTGCACCTACAGAGCCTTCAATTTTGTCATAACATAATCTAGGGGTGCAGAGAACTAATTAAGTGAGCAAACCCTTTGGATTTCCGAGGATGTTCTGTCTTCTAACTGTCCCTCTGTCTTCTATATGTCTTGTTCCTCTGTCTTCTATATGTCTTGTCCCTCTGTCTTCTATCTGTCCCTCTGTCTTCTATCTGTCCCTCTGTCTTCTAACTGTCCCTCTGTCTTCTATATGTCTTGTTCCTCTGTCTTCTATATGTCTTGTCCCTCTGTCTTCTATCTGTCCCTCTGTCTTCTATCTGTCCCTCTGTCTTCTAACTGTCCCTCTGTCTTCTA